GGAGAGCCGCACAGCATGGACCAAGGAGGGGAGGAGAAGACCCAAGGAATTAGAGACATGTAATAAGATATAACAAAATAAACCAGGCAGAGAGTGAAGAAGAGAGAAGGTGCTGGTTTGTGGTGCCTGATAGGTGATCCCCCAGTAGTCTAGGCCTATAGCAGCATAACTATGGATGACTATGGTTCAGACTTGAGCTAAAGGCTTTATCAAAAGGGAGTCTAGCCTTAAATGTAGCGACCGTGTCTGCATCCCTCACTGAGAGTGGGAGCTGGTTCCAAAGGAGATGAGCTTGGTGACTAAAAGTTCTACCACCTGTTCTACTCTTAGTAACTCTAGGCACTACAAGGAGTCCAGAGTTTAGGGAGCGAAGTGGTCTGTGGGGGCAGTAAGGGGTTATGAGACCTTTAATGTAGGATGGGGCCTGATTGTTGAGCGCCTTATAAGTCAGCAGGAGGATTTTGAAATCTATCCTCTGTGAGTAGGGAGCCAGTGAAGTGAAGCTAAGACTGTAACGGGTATGGTTTGAACCCAAATGCAGCACAACAAGCATGGACAGTTGGTAACAGTCTTTATTCTCAGCGTAGCTCACAGCAGATCAGGTGGTAGGCAATACAAACAGCAATAGGCAGAAGACTTGGTCAGGGACGGAAGGCAGAGGTGATTACCAGGTTTCAGACGAGGCAGATTAGTCAGGGACAGGCAAGGTCGGCAACAAAGAATCAGTCCAGAGATGAGTGCTGGAAAGTCTTGCATGATGGCATTGAACAATCTGGCAACTGACTGAGAGTGGAGCTGGTGAATATATACTGGGCTGATTGCAGGTGATGAGGAGCAGCTGTGTTGGGTTGGTGAGAGGGTGTGGCTTGGCTGGCAGATGAAGCAGAGGCGGAGTCAATGGAAAAGTACTGAGAAGTGGGAAGATGGGAGACTTACTGAGAAGTGGGAGGATGGGAGAATGACTGAGAAGTGGGAGGATGGGAGACTGACTGTGACAAAGACAGGAGTAATATGATCCCGTCTTCTGGTTCCTGTCAGTACTCATGCAGTAGCGTTCTGCACTAGCTGAAGGGCTCTTAAGGATCTACTGGGACATCCTGATAATAGGGAGTTGTAGTAGTCTAGAATAGACATAATAAAGGCATGAATCAGTTTTTCAGAATCCTGTTTTGACAGGATGTGTCTGATTCTCTTTATATTACGCAGATGAAAGAAAGCTATTCTGGAGGTTTGACTAATTTGTTGGGTAAATGACAGATCATCAATGATAACTCTTCTCAGTGGAGTTTGGAACCAGGCGGATATCATCTAGATTAACCGACTGGTTAGACAGAGTTTTCTGAGATGCCTAGTACCCAGGATTATGACTTCAGTTTTGTCTGTGTTTAGCAATAAGTAATTCTGGGTCATCCAGGACTTGATGTCTTTAAGACAGTTTTGAAATCAAATTAAATGGTTCAGTTCGTCTGGCTTAATAGATAAATATAACTGGGTGTCATCTGCATAGCAGTGAAAAAGAATGTTATGTTTTCTAATAATATTGCCTAATGGTAACATGTATAAATTAAAGAGTATTGGACCAAAAACTGAACCTTGTGGGACTTGTGGTGGCAATTTCTGTGAAACAAGCACAAAGTCAAACACTTCTTTCAGAAAGTTTAATTCAGCATCTGCAGATGGACTCATCAGTACACATCACCTGAATGACATGCACAAATGAGCAAAGAACATAGGAGAATCTGTGTTCTTATAACTCTCAGCCCCCTCCCACTAAGCATGCAAAGGTATTTATTACCCTCCYGTAGTTTCACTCAGTGGAGGAGACATCCTGTCCATTTGTTTACATGTTCTGTGGATGACCCCCCTGTGAGATCCCAGTTGTTTGATCCCAATCAGAGATACCATGAGAATCCATAAAACTCAAGTCTCTTAAGCCACCATCGTAAACCTTAAGGTTGCCCTTTCAGATAAACAATTTTGTGAACCATTTGGTAAGTCCTCCACATACATGTCTGCTAATGCAATTAAACATTCACAAATGTAAAAATTTCCATTACAGACTCCATGATTAATGTGTATGAGTATTCATCATTAACACTAACAAAGTGGAATCTATTTGATAAATAAGAACTAAACCCATCATCTGATAAGAACATTTATTTAAACTGAGTTGCTTAAAACCAATATAAATGTAAATCTGTAAAGAGAATAACAATATAATTTAAAGCACAGACAACATCCAAAGGACTGTTAAAAGTCTAAATGAGCGACTACATTTAAAATGTGTCTTAAAACTAATCACTAAATGTGAGGTCTAAATGGTCTCCCAGCTGGTGAAACAGTTGATCCAACGCTGTTGTCCTCAGTGTCCTGCTCCTTCTCCCCTAAAGGCCACAGCTGGTCCCTCTCGTAACTCCACCCGCTAATTCTAACACAGCAGTCCTGAAATATATTCAGTCTTCATGAAGGTTGTAATGTTTTTTGTTCTAATTGTGTTGATAGTAAAATATCATGTCAGAGAGACTGGAGTCACTCAGAGCTGGATGTGCTGAGATAAAGTATATACAGTATATAATGCCGTCACATAAATTGCAGTGCAGTGGCGCAACATCACTCCGACAGTAAGGGGTGCTGCAGCCCCATCAGCCCTTATGTTAATTTCCTGAGTCTGCAGTGCAATGGCATAATGAACAGAAATTATTTAAATTCAAATTAAATAAAACTGCTGAATTGTGTTGTGTAATACTGAGGTCTTTTGCATGGTCCAACCCATTTTTATCAAACAGGTTTTTACTGCTGTGTTATGCAATATTATTTTTAGCTCTACTTATTCACCATCACATAAAATGGACCTGCTTTTAGCAATGTCTTTTGCCAGCGGGATCAGCCAGAGACTAACCATTAAGGCTTTAACATATTTTATTTCTAATCACACGAGCAAACATAAAGTCAAAACTAAACATAAATGTTCCGACTTATAACCTTTTCAGGTTTATCGGCTCAGCATTGTCCGTATTTGTCTCTCCATGATTCTCCTTGCGCTTCTTCTTGTGCATTTTGTGATGGGAAATCTGAAAACTCAAGAGGCTGGATTACCAGAGAGTCACAGGGAACTCAGATTGTTGATGGAGAACAGTCAAGTACAAGCATCTTTTATAGGAAAACTAAGGCTGTCTGAGCCAGTTCAGGATGTAAAATATATCATCACCAATACAGTAGGATAAAGCAAATAGCTGTTTTTGTAGTCACAGGCATTCTAATATGTAGAGCAAGCCGGAGAGATCGCTTTTGACAATCCTGTGTCAACCTGTGGTTGAATGGGACTGTAAAGGGTTGTAGAAGGAAGCAAGGAGTCATAAGGATCTGACTAAGGAGCTCAATAGAGTTGAAAACTGACGATAATATCGTTCATGTGGTTGTACTTCTCCATGTCAAAGTCACGAGATTTAAAGAATGCCATCGTCTTATTCTTCTTCTTGTTTTGTCTTTTCAACTCTTTGACTTCTCCCATTAACTTCATTATTATCATCTGTTGCTTTGAGACAGTTATAATTTCTAGTTCTGTCTTTATTTCCTTCGGCTCCTCATCCGTAATTGCACAGTACTTCTTTGGTTGTGGCATTGTTTGCATTTTTTGTCAGGTACCAAGCAAGACCAATATCATCTACCTTCGTTTGTTGTTTCTCCAACTTAAACTACATGGGTAACATATAGACGGAGTCAGCTTCACAGTGTGAACTTTTTGAATGTTTAAAAAAAAAAAAAAGTACCTCCAAGGTGTTCTTTAAGTTAGTTTTGTAGTTATCAGTGTGTGGTGATGACTGTCTGCTGCTTATAAAAACCATGTCACAATTACTATTAGTAATTCTCTGTTAGGTGTCTGTGATACAGGCATTGGTATTGGTCAATGTTATTGTCCCTCTGACTGTTCTGTGTTCTGTTCAGAACCTTCCAGCCCTGAGATGTAGGGCACAAGTCGGAACGTTCCAGAACCAAGTTCCTCTGCTGCCAGGAGAGACCATCCACACTACTGGTATATATGTCTAAGTGAAGTGCCAATGTTAATTGTGTGTATAATTGCACACTTCGTCACTTTTCTGAAAACTTTGACTAGTCATTTAAATATTGTTCATGTGCCAATTAATCCAATAATAATTTTGTCCTGTTTGTTTCTTGATGTGCAGTCAAGGATGTGCTGTATATCTGTCCATTCAGTGGTCTGGTTAATGGGACCCTAACCATCACAGACTACAAGCTCTACTTCACCAGTGTGGAAAGGGTACTGTAGTGTGTACACCACATATATAATTTATTCTGCAGAGCTTCAATACCATCAGACTTCCTTTAATCTACAATCCACAAACTTGATCAGTTGATGATTGAGTGATATAAGCTGTGTAATCACACCTGTAGTAGCTATTGGTCTGTTTTTATATTTGTGTTATTTACACGTCTTAATGTCAGTCTTTATACATGCAGGAGTCTCTGTTCATTCTTGATGTTAACCTGGGCGCCATCAGCAGACTGGAAACTATCAGTGTTCCCACCCAGGGAGAGAACACCAAAGGACTTGAACTGGTCTGCAAGGTAACACTTATTTACACACACACAACTTATGGCTCACTAATGCAGAATACTCATTGAAACACATTGTTTAGAAGTCCCTAATCTGATATTGTAACTTTTACAATTTATAAACCCCCATCTTTCTGCATCAGGACATGAGAAATCCCAGGTTTGCCTATAAAACAGAGGAGAGCCATCCAGATGTGGTTGAGTCGCTGGCTAAACATGCCTTCCCTCTCTCCCACAACCTGGTCAGTTTCCTTCTAATGTCTAAAATATTGTCTTGATTCGAAATTCAGTGAGTGTTAATTGTGCTTCGAAGCCAAAGGACTAGATGGACTATGCTCATTGGATTATTATTTGAAGAATGTTTTCAATTTGTGTTGGTTGGGACATGTTAAGCCTGTTGTGAACCTCCAGTAGTCACTATTGTAGCAGCATTAGCTATTGATTGCTCTAAGGCAAAGGTTGAGATGAGGGGAAGGAGCATATCAGTGTAGAAACAATAGAAAAAAAATTATTCACTGCAGAAACTCATCCTACATCCCTAGCAGTAGTTCCTCAATTTTGGCTGGCGCTACACAACAAAAAGTAGTATTCAGTGGTGGGAAGCTGGTGAGGAATCATGTCATTTTGCATTGGTTACACTGGGGCCTATCTTTTTCATTTAGCAAGTACATAACATCGGGGCAACCAATTTACTGCGCCTTTAAGCATAGTAATAAACAAATTATATCATTGACAGTTCCCATAAAAATATTCATATTTACAATTCAAACCACTGTTACGATGATAATATTATAGTACACCCTTTCAAAGAGCAATTAACTTAATTCTAAAGAATATTCAGCCTTTGATATATCATAAATATTAATCATAAGCCACAGACAACCAAAATTATTTCAAACTAGACTTTAAATTTGACTCTTTGGTTCTGATAACATAAATTGCTCTTGAATAAATATTAAACAATTGGCACAGGATACATTTTACCAGCTGAGTATACTTGTACGGTTTTATTAAGCTAGCTACATTAACATAATAACTCCCACCGTATAGGGTGTTCTAAACTGATGAAACAGTGTCTCACTCAAGCTCGGACATCCGTTTACTGTCTTTCAAACGTTTATTAGCATTCCTATGTACACATGCTAAGCTAACTAGTACATTAACAGTAACCGTCCCGTTCGCCAGGTAATCAACTGAAAAGACATAAAATGAACACAAAACCACACTATTAATAACACGGACATATTATCCATTGTATAATGTGTATACATGAACATATTTATAGCATTTCAATAAGTTATAAGAAAAGTGTATGCATCTCTTAACTCACCAGCTCAGCTTCACCAGTTAAAACAATAGCATATAAAGAAGATCCGGCAGGTTGATACATCCGCCCCAATTAACCTACAGGGGGGTTTTCTACCACAAGAGGTCGCTATTACACAAATGTTGAATAACTTCACAATACTGGATAGTTGGGATAGTTTCCATTGTATTAGGTTAGTATTCAAGCGCAGGTCAGCAGGAGTGTGGGGGACACCCAGACTCTTACACTGTACAAATTAACCGCTGCTTCTGCTCTGATTCTGAAGCAGTGGCACCAATCGTTTTGTGTTGGCAACCCGTTGTGGAAACCCTGTATTCACACTTTTGTCCCCAATGTTTGACATTGACCGCCTCGTCTACCGTCTTTCCTCTCTCATCTCTGCTTCACTGTTCGTGTGTCAGTGTCTGTATGGTGGCGGGCCTGCCCAGAGAATGTGTGTATCTAAGTGGAAACTCCACAGAGATAAGATGATGAAATGACACGACTCAATCAAATACACATTTTTTGCACACCTGTGCCACCATGGAAATTCTTTTGGTGCAGGTCATGACTTCAGTATATCTGAAACACATAAATGATTTGAAAATAATCAATTGGATTGATTATTAGATATTGAGAAAGTTTGTGTCTACACCATCTCAAGGACAAAATCCTTTTCAAATTCCTATAAAATTATTCTTCAAATCTAATTGTAAATACTAATGTATTTAGAGAACACAATGTTTTCACCTCTAGATAATTAATTACAACTTGTAAACATCCTCAGTAAATGAATTCTAACAGACGTCCTGTCACATCCTCTTGCAGCCTCTGTTCGCTTTTCTTTACAAGGAGCAATATCCTGTGGACGGCTGGAAGGTGTATGACCCAGCAGCTGAGTACAGGCGCCAGGTAACACAGACTGTGATGCTGATTCAGTCTGCTCCCACTACTCCCATGTGCTACCACTAGACACATGGATTCTGACAGAGCAAGAAAAGCATACTTCATGATACTACTAATAGAAAAGCCATGTGACTACACTGAACCATTGGTAGTCTTTAAATGATTGTTACTCTATAGCTTTATAGCATCTGTACAAAAACAGCTGCTTTAACTTTCTTTTTTCTGTACTTTCTCCTGCTGTAGTTACGTCTATCAGTTATTTTTCACATTTAACAGGAAAGATGGCCATTATGTCTCTTGACAAACTGGAAGACATTTTAGTGAAACATGTGCGCAGGAAGTGCTGTTTTATTAACATTATCCTAACAGCAATCAAAAAACTGTTGAATGGAAGCAACAAGAGGTATTTAGTGAAGGAAAATTAGATTTTTGTTAAAGAAGGGAACCTTGAGTCTGTTGCTTTACTGATTGAATCAGTGCTTTATTATGACAACTGATAAAATAGTAATCAAACATCTGAGGTGAATAAATGTACTGTAAATGTATATATAATATTCTATACTATATTTTATGGAATGTACTTGTCAGACATTTTACTCTTTAGTATTCTAATGCTTTCTTCCCTGTGGTTGAATTTGTTTGGCCAGGGTCTCCCTAACGAGAGCTGGACAATTAGTAAGATCAACAGCACCCATGAACTGTGTGACACCTACCCCTCCATCCTGGTCATCCCCACCAACATCATAGATGAAGACATCAAACGCGTTGCTGTGTTCAGAGCTAAGCACCGCATACCGGTCTGTCTGAGAGCCACATAACAATTCAAATACAAATAAAAGAACTTAGATATAGAGGCAAAAATGTATGGTGTGGTTAATTGTTCTACAGGTCTTGTCCTGGATCCATCCAGAGTCTCAGGCCACCATTGTACGATGCAGCCAGCCCTTAGTTGGACATTCAGATCGTCGCTGTAAAGAGGATGAACGCTTATTCCAAATCATCATGGATGCAAATGCCCAGTCCCATAAACTCACCATCTTTGATGCCCGGCAGGGTAGCGTGGCAGTCACCAACAAGGTTAAGGTTATTTGTGTATTTTTCTTGTTTTTCCTCTCCCCTCACCGTCCTGTTATGCCTTGACTCAGATTGTGTTCTCTTCCTCTTTTCAAACCTTGCACTCTGGCATCCTCCACCTCTGCTGCCTCCACCGTATGTAGTCGAAGGATGGAGGGTATGAGAGTGAAAGTTTTTATCCAAATGTGGAGCTGAACTTTCTAGAAATCCCCAACATCCATGTCATGAGAGAGTCACTGAGGAAGATGAAGGATGTGGTTTATCCCACCATAGATGAAGCTCACTGGCATTCTGCTATTGACCAGACACACTGGTTGGAGTACATACGGGTAAATCTAATACACAAACACAATAAAGAGTAATAGTGGTCTTCATTATTATACTTTCCTTTGGTTGGTTTATTACCTTACAATTTAAGTAAATCAAAAACTGCAGAGAGTATAGTATTTATATATTGTACTGACAATGTGTTGTGTGTAGCTTTTATTAGCGGGAGCAGCAAAAATAGCTGATAAGATAGAATCTGGGAAGACATCGGTGGTGGTACACTGCAGCGATGGCTGGGACAGAACTGCTCAGCTCACCTCTCTGGCCATGCTGATGCTGGACAGCTACTACCGCACACTCAGAGGATTCCAGGTCACACACTGCATCACAATATCAACTACTTATATGCTGTAGTCATCATATGTACAGTGTTATCATGTTGGCATGTGTTGCAGGTTCTGGTGGAGAAGGAGTGGATTAGTTTTGGACACAAGTTTGCTGCAGTAAGGAACTGGGAATAACAATTATGATTCTGGTCATATTCTTGCTACCAGGTTTAAATGTGAGATTACAATAAGATCACTGTCAGTGATCACTGTTTATTCTAGAAAGACTGATAAAAACATTATCTTAGCTTTGTTCAAATTAGCTAGGCAGGCCTGTCCATACTACTGCTACATGGTTTGATGAACACAGATTGGAATTATGACTGAAACAAAGGTATTTCTTAATGACACTGAAATGCAGTTTCATTCAAAAATATATTTTTTTAACAAATTCACATTTATGTTGTGAATATTCTTGTATCCCATTGGATTATCTATTGGTTCTAATAGTTTATTGTTTTATGTTTATATTATCCTTCTGTTGCACATCCGTTTACTCGAAAAGATCACTGGCAAAGCCACAAGAAGTCATTCAGCCTGTCAAATGCATTTGGAACATAAACTATGCAGGTAGTGAGTTGTGATTGTCATTGACTCCTAGCTAATTAATGTGTATTACAGCTACTTATAAGCTTCCTGTTATCTTTATGGTGCATAATTGTTTTGTCCATTCAAAGTATTTTTTTTCATGTGTTGTAGCGTGTGGGTCACGGTGATGAGAACCATGCTAACTCTGAGCGTTCTCCCCTCTTCGTTCAGTTCATCGATTGTGTTTGGCAGATGACTCGACAGGTCAGAGTCCTTCATCAGCCTTCATAAACCTAAGAGAAAAAACTGCGTGCATGCGTGTGTGGTATTTTGAACTTAGGTGGAAATGGTTTGCTTCTCTCCACTCATTATCACTGCTCTTCTTCTGACTGCAGTTCTCAGCAGCGTTTGAGTTCAATGAGCTGTTCCTGATCACAGTGCTGGACCACCTCTACAGCTGTCTCTTTGGTACATTCCTTTATAACAGTGAAGCAGAGAGGATAGACAAGGTTAGTACCATTTCACTGTTAACAGAGGTTCATGGGTCTTAAAGGGGTCATGTTAAAACTCCTTTGTCTTGTTCAGGAGGTGCAGACCAAGACTGTGTCCTTGTGGTCCTACATTAACAGGTAAGATGGCCACCTTTTTCACAGGAGTGAATGGAGTGAATGACATAAGTGAGTCTCTGACTGTCTGAGTGTTGTTGCCTCCTTCCAGCCAGCCGGAGGACTTCACCAACCCCTTCTATGTGGACTATGAGCACCATGTTCTGTATCCACTTATTTCCTCGAGACACCTAGAGCTGTGGACCAGCTACTATGCTCGCTGGAACCCGCGCATGAGACCACAGGTACACTTCCTCTGAAATGATGAATGAGCGTGGGGAGCACTATTTAAAGCAGAGGCCTGGCAACTCATCAGCAGAGAACAGTAACAAGCAGCATCTAGTTAAAATAACTGTATTTGGAATTAGATGTATCCTAAATGTTCTTATATTATTTATCCCCGGTTTGGATAAGTGATACACAAGTGAATTATGCTAATATTATTGTTCACTATTTTTGTTTCAGGTGCCAGTACACCAGAATCTGAAGGAGCTGCTGTTTCTGAGATCAGAGTTGCAGAGGAGGGTGGAAGAGCTGCAAAGAGAGACATCCTCCCACTCCCTGTCCTCCTCCGAGCACCCCTCCTCCCCTACGCATTCCACAGGAACTCCACTGCACACTGCTGTTTGATACACACACACACAAATACACAGGGTATGATCCCCCTGCTGTGGATATATCTGTAAGACACAGATATATCCACAAAAGTAAATTGGCTTGCATGCCAATTTACCTTTAAAACACCTGGAGTGGAATCAGTTGAATGTTTGATCTCCACCCGAGTCAGGGTGCTGTGAGATTTAAGAAAAGGCTGTCCTCCCACCTCCTGGTGTGCATATTTTTTGCGGTTCAATGTCTCTGTTAAGGTGTTGCAGAGGTCCATTGCTGACAGGCTTTCTGAACCTAAGCATTTTTTTGTTTATTTATCATAAAAAACATACATCAACAGCAAAAATAATTAAATCATGATTACCATCAACAATGTACTAGAGCAGAACTTGAAAATAAATTTATAAGATTTATAAGAGAAAGAAATATAGATAAGGTGTCAAAACATTTGAAGAAAACAAATGTCCAAAAATATTTGTCCTCAAAGTGGTTTGCAAAATTTAAAATTGAATGGGTTTAAAGTTTGAAAATGTACCAACATGTAGATAAGGTGTATTGAAAGGAGTTAGAGTTAGTATGTTAGTTTAAACAAATGGGCTTTAAGAGCAGTTTTACATTTTGTAATAGAGTCCAGTTTGTAGACGTGGTGAGAAAGGGAGTTCCAGAGGTTGTGTGCAGCATGAGAGAAGGCCCTGGCACCCATTGTGCTGAGGATAATGGTTGGTACTGTGAGTCGATCTGCTGATGAAGACCATAGGGGGCAAGAGGGTGATAAATTATGAATGGCTTTTAAAATTAACAGAAGGGTTTAGATTTTGATGCATGTGATACAGGGAGCCAGTGTATGTGAACAAACAGAGGAGTGAAATGTTCAGTGGATTTTGTACATGAAATGATCTGAGATGCAGAATTTTGGATGAGTTGGAGTCGGTGAATCAGTTTGTTGGGGATGCCAGTGAGAATTGTGTTGCAGTAATCATCAGTAATGTGTTGCAAACGCGCGACGTGACCAGGGCAAATTAAAGAGAACTTCTGTGGAGTGCTTGTTATGGCTGGGTTTAATCTGGAGATGCTTCGTAAACTGAAAAAGTCAGAGTACTGTCCATGATGACACAGAGGCTCCTAACCTATGTGGAGATGGGTATGAGGTATGGGGAGTTAGCGGATATCAGTTTATGAAGGGTGATTGTAATTCTTTGAAGAGGTCATTGTTCTTGAGGTAGATTTGAAGTTGAAATGTACCTACTTTTGTAAGGATTTTGGAAATAATTGGTAGACTAGATATGGGCCAGTTGTTGTTTTGGTCGTTGGAGTCTAGTCCAGGTTTTTTTAGGGTTGGTTTGATTATTGCAACTTTGAGTTGCCATCAGGAGGAAGGAAATGAGAAATGAGGGCAAACGTGCTTTAACTGGGATTGTAGGGATTGGATCCAGGTAGCATGTATAATTTTTGTATGAAAGAATATAACATGAAGTCTCATGAAGATACCAGCATTCTGCATTGTTGGACAGCTGTTTCTCCCCTCTCTAATACCTAAACAGTTCCTTACTGTTTTCCTGTATTTGTCTAAAAAAACTTTTATATAATTACATATAATTTGGCCTTTTCACATGTCAACCATGTCTCTGGTTCCACATAAAGTTTGATTTGTAATTGTTTGTCATCATTGCTGACCACTTTCTACCTTTGCTTCAATAAATACTATAAATGGTACTGTCTACTTTTGAAAGCTGATGTGTGAATTGTGTCTTTTTATGTAAATAACTTGCCTAATTAAGTAAAGTTAAACACAAAAACCCTAATGAGCCACAATTACTTTTCAAATTCCATTTTAAAAGTAACAAGAGCTGCGAAGCAGCACAGTGCGGGCCCGAGCACTTGTGAACCTGGGACCTGATGCAGCCGCAGGGGAAGGGCAGTAGGTGACCGGGAGAAATGACTCTGTGTTGTGTGCATTTTGTGCACTACTGGAAGGATAAAAGCGTCACTTCCGGCATCCTAATTGGGCGCCTCTTACTGATTCACTGTGAAACTTGAATCAGTAAGTGGTGCCCATTGGACAATGCACAGTGGTGTTAAATACAACTTAATTTTCACACTTGTTAGTAGGTGGTGCTACAACTCTGAAGTACTTTTGACACATGGAGCTGTTCAGGCCGCGACTGTGATCATTGGTTTTAATTTTGCTGCCGATTGGACAATGCATAGTGGTGTTGAAAACATCTTAAATTTCAAGCTGTTCAGTAGGTGGCATTATGGCCTTGTATACGTTTTTACACATGGAGCTTTTCATGCCACTTCTCAAATCATAGGTTTCAATATTTGTGCCGATTGGACAATTCACAGTGCAGCTAAATCCAACTTAATTACACCTCATGTTTTTCACTTTAACTTCTCAGATGAAGTCTGTGCCACTCCTTTGGTTTGTCAATTCCTACAGACCTTTCATGACAACCTCCCGGTCCCACTTCTTCTTCTACGTTGTTTTATGACCGCTGTGCTTCAGGCAGCTTCTTCAGTAAACAAACACACACTCACAGTCTATGTGTCCACACTCCAGACCTTAGCCTGCCCCCCAAAATCCAGAAGAAGAGGCGGTAAACATACGCGAGACATCGCCTCATTTGTCCTTTTGTCCTTTTAGACGTGGACATGGCGATATATAAAACTGAAAGACCTAAGACATTTTACATACTGCTACTTAAAATTATACAACCTGTAAAATGGCCAAAATGGCTAATAAATCCAAAATGGCCAATAAATCCAAAATGGACAACTTCCTGTTGGGTTTTTCATAATGCCCCTTGAGACTTTTTTGTTCGTCTGGTCTTGATGCACTTCTTTACCCATTTTCGTGTACAACGGTAAAAGCCAATTCAGGGGATGCATTCTAGTGCATTCTAGGTGGTGCTGTTCATTTATTTTTTCACACCCATTTCAAATTACTCCAGAATACATACATTTTACCACTCTTGAAAAGTCTGCAAAGTTTCATGACTTTTTGATTATGTTTAAGCCCTTAAAAAAGGCAAATCATTTGCGTGTAAAATATTAATTATAAACATTACAATTTCAATAGGTCCTTCACACTGTCAGTGCTCGGGCCCTAAGTAGGGCTGCAAAGAAGGATAAAAGCTTCACTTCCTGTGTCTGTCACTCAACGCAGAACAACGCCCACCAATCACTTATCACGGTTGTCACCATCAAACGGAAACCACAAGGTTGAAATTTGATGTCAATCAAATTAAAGTTTTAAAACAAGGCTTACCTTCTGTTGCCAGTAGGTGGCCATCACTACATACAGACTAACAGATCTGTTAAGGTCTGGGCTCTGATGAAGCAAGGCCAATATGGGGCCAATTGGACAATTGAGAACCCTGTGGCTATCAGGGGCTCCACTAGCCTATCCATAGTCTGTGTACATGAGTAATAATAAAGTAATGCAAATAAGTACCATCTGTACACAGTTATGTGCACGTTTTTGGCGTGCATGATTTATTTAGCATTTAGCATTGTAATAAGCTAATTCGGCTAATGTAGCTAGCATGTGTGTACACAGCAGCTGTGAGTTTTGTAGCCTAAGTGATGTTGTGTTATACAGGAAAGTAGTGACATAGGCAGTTAAAGGGATCAAAAGGGCATGGTAATGATTAGTTGATTATTTTTAAAGACTTTTGGTCTAAACTAATTGTGGTACATTTCATGACACACTGTTAGGCTTAGTTATTGAGTTGGACCCCAAAGCAGACGCGGACTGATGGTTAGCGATTTAACAGAGTTTATTTATACAAACAAAACAGGAGCAGGCTGGGGTGGCAGGGTGCAGGCTGGCTCGATGATCCAGGGTGAGACGAGGATGAATGGAGGAGCAGCGAGGCGCACGGAAAGACTGGGTAGAAGGA